AGAACCACAGACTGCGGGAGGAGAACCACAGACTGCGTTAGAACCACAGACTCGTGTTACAGCGAGTCACTCAGAAGAAGTCTCCAACCAGCGGCACAAAGTTGAGCTAGCCGCTCACTCAAACAGACGCTCGTGGCTAATGCTAGCGGTGCACGCTCCTCCAAGGTTCCCGCAGATGAGGAAGATGTTCTCCTCCTCCTCCTCTTCCTTCTCCTCCTCCTCCTCCTCGGAGACGCAGGTAAACGAACCGCTCCTCATGTAAAGTTTTTTCTGCCCCGAGCTGATTTAAGTTTTAACGTTTGTTTGCTTCCCATCATCATCATCATCATCATCATCCTTTTCTTTACTTCTCCATTGAAGTCTTTTTCTTGACTTAAGCTCAGTCCCTCATTTATGTTCTACAGAGCCTTAATAATAATAATAACGAAGAAGGAAGACACTTATTTCTTTATTTCTGATGTGGGAAGTTTTTGGATGAACAATTAGTGACACAAAGAGTTGGAATGCATATAATTTATTTTGGATATTTGTTGGAGTCTTTTTTATTCTAGGCTCAGCTGAGGTTCAGTACTGGTATGTTGACATGTGGACATGTGGACATGTTGACATGTGGACATGTTCACTCTTTGATATGCAGCTGTATTAGTTGGAACACCAGGGGAGTCAGTCACATTATCAAACGTAATTCGTTTCTTGAGGTTAATGTTGGTTTCCTTCAAGAAACCCGTCTCATGTCCTCTGAGCACACCAGACTCTGCAGAGGGTGGGTGGGGCGATTATATCACTCCACTTATCAGAGCGAGTCTCGGGGCGCTGCAGTTCTTGTTAATAAGAAGACTCCTTTCATTGTGCAGACTGTCACTGCAGACCACCGAGGGAGATATGATGTGGTCACGGGTACCCTGTATAATATAGCTATCTAATATACCCATCATTTTGGCTAATGTATATATGCGCCAAACAGAGATTGTGCACAATTTCTGAGGACTGTTTCATCCTCATTACCCAACTTAAACACACACAGGCTTATTCTAGGGGGTGACTTTAATTGTGTATTACACCCAGCTTTAGACTGCTCCTCTAGCTCTACCTACAATATAACAAGATCAGCGAAGACTATTACTTCCTTCATTCAAGCATATAACATAACTGATCCCTGGCGTTTCCTGTACCCTGATCTAAGACATTATTCATTTTTCTTCCCTGTGCATCATTCCTACTCGCCATTGATTCTTTTTTTAATTAATAGCCAGTTGCTGACCTCAGTCAGAGAATGCAGGTATGAAAGTATCGTCATTTCTGGCCTGTAGTTTTGCAAATATCCTTCCCTAAGAAAGTTACTCTTAGGGATGCTAATGCTTCGCTCACTAATGAAGGGTTCGTCAACCATATAAACACACAAACAGATTTTGTCTTGTCCATGAATGATACACCAGATGTTAGCAAATCCACTATTTGGGAATCGCTTTTTGAGAGGAGAGATTATTTTATACACCAGCTGGGAGGCAGGAGTAGAAAACAGCGCCTTAAAGATCTTATAGACCAAATTCCTCAGCTGGACTGTAAACATTCAACTGCTCCCACCCTGAACTTTTAAAGCAGAGGTCATCTCTGCAGACAGAGTTCCACTTGATGACCACCCATTCAGATAAGACAGTTCACAGCCTCTACCCTGATCACAAATATCTGCAAACATGACGGTCAGATCTGTGACGACGAGCAGGAGATAAATAATGAGTTTAAAGTCTTTTATTTCTCTCTTTACACCTCTGACGTGATCCACGACCCTTCTAGGCTAGAGTCGTTTTTTCAGAGCATGGATTTGCCTCAAATAGGTGAAGCATTTATGGAGCAATTGGAAGAACCTCTGTCTTTGGAGGAAACTAGATCTGCTCTTTACAGTATGCTAAAGACCTGATGGTTTCACGGTCAAATTCTTTAAGAAAATTCGAGATAAGTTGCTGCCAATTTTACTCTTTTTGAAGAATCCTTTGTCGAGGGCCAACTTCCACCCACATTCTCTCAGGCTTCTATCTCAGTAATATTGAAAAAGGGTCAAGATCCCCTTAGTTGTGGGTCTTAAAATCCGATATCACTCCTGAACGTGGACTGCAAATTGTTAGCCAAGGTCTTAGCTCACCGCCTAGAAGCTACCCTGCCTTCGATTATCTCTCCAGATCAAACTGGTTTTATAAAAAAACGCCTCTCTTTTTTTAATACTCGTCGGCTTTTAAATATCGTGCAGAACGCGGATCCCAATCAGCCATGACCTGAAGGAATTGGGAAGAAGTGGGTGGAGGTGGGAGAAAAGTCTGTTCTTATACTTCTGTATATGTTTCATTTTAATTGTGAAAACCAATAAATAAAGTGAAATAAATAAATAAACAAAAACAAGTTGTGCAGAGTTGTAAGACTGATTTTATTTTCAGGCCATGTGACATTTGTTAATCTTCATTTTGTATCTTTCAGACATCTGATGTGCTCGCACACAGAACGGCCACAGCTCCCAGAGGGCTGCATTTCTAATGAGGGAGGAGCCAGAAACTCTCTGGACACGTCTGGTAAGACGACTTTGGTTTCTACCATCAAGGTTGTTTTCATTTGTTGACTGCTGGGCCAGTAAATCTCTGACTGGAGATCTAACACACTCATTTGATAGGAA